AAGCTGCCAGGTCCGGGATGCAAACCGCGGTCGACTACGTGGGAGTCCAGCGACATAGCCATTACGCTAACTGCTGGTTCCCGAAATTATTTTTTTTAATGGGAGAAACAAGAGAAATGGGGAAGGGAGGGAACAAGAATCTTTTGTGTGTACAGTCTTTTCTGCAGTGTAGATGTCTAAGTCACATATTATCCATACCAAAAAAATGTTCATTTTTGAAAAGAAAATTAGCATTTAAAAATCACAATTTAGGGGCCAGCAGAAGCTGTAATGCTTATACAGCTGGACTCCCACATAATCCTAGACTCAGTGGCTTAAAACTCACACCAGGCGCATACGTGTATGTGCCCAAAATCCCAAGAGGAGAACGGAGGAGAAGGGATTAGAGCTTGGCCATCCCCGGGGCAGGGGTGTGTGTGTGATTTCTCACTTTCTGTCTCTCTGTCTCTTTCTAGCTCTCCAGCAAGTGCACATAATCCGTAGCAAAAAAATCTCTTAAAAAAAAAATCACAATATAAAATGTTTCTATACTGCATTAGCTACATTCTATGTCAAACAAGATGCCAGAAAAAAATACTTCAAAATGTTGCCAAAAGTGGGAACCAGCAGTTAGCGTAATGGCTATGTCGCTGGACTCCCACATAGTCGACCACAGTTCATGTCCCGGACCCAGTGGCTTAAAACTCACGCCGGGTGCGTGTGCGTGCGTGCCCAAGATCCCGAGAGGAGAATGGAGGAGAAGGGATTGCGGCGTGACCATCCCCTCTGGGGGGTGATTTCGCGCTTTCTGTCTCTATGTCTCTCTCTGTCTGTCTGGCGAGCGCTAGTGCCCTACAGTGAAAATCTCTCCAAAAAAAAAAAAATTAAAAAAAAAAAAAATGTTGCCAAAAGTTTAATGGTGGAAACCTTCAGATGGTAAGAATATAAATAGTACTTCGAATAAATAACATGTTTAATATACTTTTATGATCACTTCTAAGAATTCATACTCCCAGAACTTCATCCAAGAACATGCATCATTTATACTCAAGAAATTTCATTTTAAATGGCAGAATTCAAATTTTATTATAAAATTTGCTTGAATTTATTCTTATAGAATAAATCTTTAAAATAAAATTATTTTCACTAACTAAAACAATCCTAATTGACACTAAATTATATAGTCTATATAAAATATATAGATGCCTGTTCAAAAACTTTATGTAAAGGGACCAGCAGTTAGCGTAATGGCTATGTCACTGGACTCCCACATAGTCGACCGCGGTTCACATCCCGGACCTGCTGGCTTAAAACTCACGCCAGGCGCATGTGTGTGCGTGCCCAGGATTCCGAAAGAAGAATGGAGGAGAAGGGATTGCAGCGTGGCCATCCCCGCTGGGGGGTGATTTCTCACTTTCTGTCTCTCTGTCTCTGTCTGGCGAGTGCATGTGCCCTATAGTGAAAACCCCCCCCGCAACAACAACAACAAAAAAAACTTTATGTATTTATATTGGAAAAAAAAAAAGATGCAGGGGGCCAGCAGATGGCATGGTGGTTAAGGTGCTGAACTCCCACATGGTCGAATGCAGTTCAAGTCCCGGGCCCAGCACCTTGAAACTTATCCCTGGTGTGAGTGTGTGTGTGTGTGTGTGTGTGTGTGTGTGTGTGTTTGTGTATGTGTCCAAAATTCCAAGAGGAAAATGGAAGAGAAAAGATTGCAGCATGGCCATCACCCTGGGTGATTTCTCCATTTCCCTCTCTATGTCTCTCTGGCAAGCACCTGCACCCTATAGCAAAAATATCTTTAAAAAAAATAATAATAACCATTCAGATCACTTTTTAAATATGTGACATTTTAATGAAAACTAAAAAGCTTAAAAATCAGTTCCAGAGCCAGCCAATGGTATGGTGGTTGGGGCAGCTGGATCCTATATAATTGGCTGAGCATTTCAAGTCCCAAACTCAGCAGTTTAAGAAATACTCTGGGTCCATGTGTGGACATACCCAAAATTTCAAGAGGAGAATGGAAGAAAAAGAATTGCAGTGTGGCCACCCCCTAAGAATGTGACTTCTTACTTTCTCCCTCCTCCTCTCTCTTTCTCTCTCTGGTGAGCACACATGTCCTATAGCAAAAACTAAATAAAAAGAAAAATCAGTTCCATTAAAACTAATAGCAATCACAGAATTTTCAAACATTTTCTTCTCAAAAAGGACTTATGCCTGTCAATGTAAAAGTCAAGAATTTAGCTACTTGGGACCAGTAGTTGGCATAATGGCTATGTCGCTAGACTCTCATGTAGTCGACTGCAGTTAGCGTCCCAGATTACTTAAAACTCACACCAGGCACGTATGTGTGCGTGCCCCAAATCCCAAGACGAGAATAGAAGAGAAAGGATTGCAGCGTGGCCATCCCCTCGAGGGGTGATTTCTCACTTTCTGTCTCAGTTTTTGTCTTTCTGGAGAGCGCATGCACCCTTAGCAAAAACCTCTCCCTCCTCAAAAAAAAAAAAAGATTTTTAGCTACTTACATATCAGTATCTTTGATATTAATATATAATAATAACCCCAGGGACTGTAGGTGGCATGGTGGTTAAAGAGTGCTAGACTCCCACATGGCCGACTATGGTTTGAGTCCCGGACCTGGTAGCTTGCTCCTCACTTCCTCTCTCTCATTCTCTCTCTCGCTTTGTCTATCTCTGGTCAAATTAAAATAAATAAATAAAATTAGAAAAAGTAATTCTTTAAATATTAATAGTAATGATCACCTCTATATAGCTTATATCACATCAGAAAATGTGTGTGAAAACATAAACTGTTCTTTTATTAAGTATTATGTGGATAGTACACAACGGAAAACACTCTGGATGGCACTAAATAATAATGGACTCAGATAACAGATCAATGTCATCAGTTCATAACAAAAGAAAGAGTGAATCAAATCAGATGGCTATTAAGTTAATACTAATATAGACAAAAACAGATTTAGAAAAAAAAATAGAATAAAAACAAGGGAGAAAAAGGCAAAGGTACTGCTTATGGCCAATGTTTCAAAAGTAATTATTTGGATTGTGTTGATTCTTCCTACTGCCATTACAACTCTAGTCATTAAAGATAAAAATCTTGTCCATTAACTACCATGCCACACATACTATAAAAGAGAATTTTTTTCCCTAGTAATTTTCCCAGACACCAAAGTCAAAGAAGTATTTTCTTCAATTTTACCGTGATGATCTGATGATCCAATATTCTGAGTGGCTTCTATAAAATTCCAAAATTTCTCTTGACTGTCTTCTGCTAAAAACTCACTGGGAGAGAAGGGGGAAATGTCAGAAATAAACAATTTAATAAAATCTTCTAATATACACTTTATTACCAAGGAGAATAAAAACAGGTTTTAGAGTTTACAAATGTCCATAGTATATATATAATATATACATGTACATACATATACTATATACATTGTAATATATTTTTCTTTAATGAGAGGCAAGTCTTACTAGCTTATTAGATATTAATAATTTGCTCACTTAATAGCTTAGTAGCTACTTCTTAAGAAAGCTGAATAAAACCTGAATTTCCCTGCTAAAACAGAGAAATCACAATATAAAGAAAGTTTATAAAACTCTATTAACAAAAATGCTATTGGAAGCAATAGCAGAATTAGGAATTCATAATTCTAGCACTAGTTATGCTCACTTATTTTCTGAAGGCCCTTATAAAGCACAAAAAATAAGTTGTGCCTGGGGCCAGCAGACGGTGTAGCAGTTATGTTGCTGGACTTCCTCATGGTTGACCATGGTTCAAGTACCAAATCCAGTGGGTTAAAACTCACGCCAGGCATGTGTGCACGCGTGCTCAAGATTCCAGGAGGAAAATGAAGAACAGAAGGGATTGTGGTGCGGCCATCCTCCCAGGGGGTGATTTCTCACTTTCTTTCTCTCTCTGCAAACATATGTGCTCTATAGCAAAAAAATCTCTGTTTTTTCCCCCATTAAAACATGAATCCTAGAAAGAGTTCTGGGACACTGAAGGCAGCACGTTTTAATCTTTAATGTCCATGAATTCAAGTTTTCAAGATCACCAAATTTTGAGTTAAAATTAGCACTGATCGTTAAAAAAAATTAGCACCAATCTAACAATAACGTTTTCATTTTTTTCAACTTTACACTACTAATCTAAAATAATGGCCATTCTAAATGTCCCTTCATTCAAGAATATAAAAATCTTAAAGGAAAATGCATATAGTGGAACCAACAGGTGGCATGGGTTAAGGTGCTGGACTACCACATTGCTGACTGCAGTTTTGAGTCCTGTACCTGGCGGCTCAAAAATCACATCAGCTACGTGTGCATTTGTGCCCAAAATCCCAGGAGAACAGGGGAGAAGGGACCACAGGGTGGCGAATACCTGGGAGGGGTGATTTCTCATTCTCCCTCTCACTGTCGGCTTCTCTCTGACAAGCACACACACCCTTGTTGGAAAAACAAATAAATAAAAAGAATTGCTGGGGCCAGCAGGTGGTATAGTAGTTAAGGTACTGGACTCCCACATGGCCAACTGTGCTCTGAGTCCCAGACTCTGGCTTGGGAATCATGCAGGGTGTGTATGCACATGAGCTCAAATTCCTGAGAGAAGGGCTATCCCCACAGAGGGTAATTTCTCATTTAGTCTCTCACTGTCTCTGTCTTTCTCTGGTAAACACATGAGCCCTATGGTAAAAACAAAAAAAGGAAGAAAATGCACGTAGAATGCACTGAATTACTGGTGTAAATTGGCCAACTTCTCTGAGCCTTAATATTATGTAGTGGTGGTCTTTCACTATCTTAAAGCAAACTACAGATCTGGATCTCAGCTTACCTAGCCAAAGGAAGACTTTCCCATTACTTGTCAACACTGGGCTGTACAACTCTCACTCTACTCCACAGCTAGACACAGAAATATGGGAAAAATAAGATTCATTTCCTGGTAATGCACAGCTTCTCTAAAAAATAGGCTTCTGAAAACACCCATTATCATAATGTTTATATTAAAATATTCAGTGCCTCCTTGAAAGCAGTATTTTTCTAGGTTTTCTAGTAACTGACATAAATACCATATAACCTTAGAGTAACTTACAGTCTAAGAAAATAGGTACTAACACAGATATATTATCATATGCACATAAAAATTAAACTCATGAATTAAAGCCACATTCAGAAGATAACACTGGCAGGGGAATGGGGTGGGAGGATGATGTACACATCACTGTAGTGGTAAAAACACGGATTTACCAGGATAAGACCCTCCAGGGCATGACCCTACATAAATAAACATGCTTTTATATAATTGCAAGAAAACCTCTCGAAACATACATTCTTCTTCAACCCATTATGTAAGTAAATTTTACAAGGTCTAAACTTAGAACAGTCTTAAAATTAATTATTAGATCCACTGAAATAATGTGGGACAGGAGAATAACACGAGATATTATGAAAAGTAATGTTCCCTTCTTTTTTATAGTATAGTAATTTTGATTGCTTTCTTTTTTATGTTTTAGATATTTAACTTCTTATACCTAGTCCACTGAGTAAAAATCTGTTTTTATTGATGAAATCAGAATGATGTCTGGGACTTGCCAGGGGGTGAGGGAGGGAAGGAAAAGATGATGATGGTGGTGGTTATTGGGTTTCTACTGATAATTGATAAACTGGGTGATGAGTACAAAGAAAGCATATTATAACATTCTCTTCATTTATACTGTTTGGAAACGTCACAACAAAAAAATCTTTAATCTATGACACCCCCTCAAATAACCTGAACGTCCACCAGATGGCACAAAGCTGGAGGTAAACTTGTTCTCTTAGATTTCCAAAGTTACTGAGGGAGATTGTTTTTCTTTCTTTCTTTCTTTCTTTTTCTTTTTTATTTTGAGAGGTTTTTTCTACAAGGCATATGTACTTGCGAGAGAGACAGAGAGACAGAAAGTGAGAAATCACCCCCCAGGGGGGATGGCCATGCCACAATCCCTTCTCCTCCATTCTCCTCTCAGAATCTGGGGCATGCACGCACATGCACCTGGCGTGAGTTCAAGCCACCGGTCTGGGACTCAAACCATGGTATAGACTACGTGGGAGTCCAGCAACACAGCCATTACATCAACTGCTGGTCCCCAGAATTGTTCTTTCTATAAGGACTAAAAGGGGAAGGGAAATACTAAAGGAGGGTGTATAATGTGACAATCATTACACTTGGAACACTAACCCATGTCATCAAATCTTCACAACCACCCTGAGCTATAAAAAAGTTTTTTAACTAAAAAACTGCAATTCAGAGACGTTAACTTACTTAAGAGCACAGAGTTAGTGAATAAATAAAAGCTACTAAGTAAATTCAAGCCATTTGATTTATACTTTTAGCATGCTGCATTTTTACACCATTAAAATATCTAGCACTCAGGGAGAGCAGGTGGTGTGATGAAGGGCGCTGGACTCCCATATGGCTGACCACGGTTAGAGTCCCGGACCTAGTGGCTTTCTTGCTCTCTCTCTCTCTCTCTCTCTCTCTCACTGTGCCCCTCTCTGGCCAAATTAAAATGAGTAAATAAATTAATTAAATTTAAAAAAAATATATATATATATATACACACACACATACCACTCAATAATTATTGCTTTAGATTTAAAAAATAACACCTATTATTTGCTCTAAGTGGTTTTAGTAACCATAGCTGCTCAAAACATATTCAGGGTTTTATTTCAATTAAGTATAAATATCACTATAAAACTACAACTTCACAATCTAAAAATACCCACAGAAATATTTTTAGCCCCTAAGGACTAGAAGCAAGAAAGGCAAAAGGACTGTGATACGCACATATCTTAATGTGTAGAAAAAGACTCTGACCCTTCATTCTCAGCCAGACGGACAGAGAGCCACAATTCATCATCAGGTACTCTTGGAGACACGAGAGAAAACAAGAGCAGCCTCAGCTAGCTCTGGAAACCACCCAACACACAACAGGTTCAAACAAGCACAGCCCACTTCTGAGTTGTCTACATGTCTCGCTACTTTGGCAAACAGTATGCAAACAGCCACAGGATAAGAAGCCTAAAAATAGTGAAGACAAAATGGCAGATGACCAGGAATATCATGAAAAGAGATGTTTATGGTGGGGAAGTTAGTGAAGGAAACCTTACACCCTATCCATTTCATAATGATCAACAAAACTGAAAAGAGGGACCAACAGAGGGTGTAGTGGTTATGTTGCTGGACTCCCATGTAGTAGATCACAGTTCAAGTCCTGGACACGGTGGCTTAAAGCTCACACCAGGCACATGTGCATGCATGCCCAAGATCTTGAAAGGAGAATGGAGGAGAAAGGATTACAGTGTGGCTATCCCCGCTGAGGGGTGATTTCTTGCTTTCTGTCTCTCTGTCTCTATCTCTCCCACAAGTACATGCGTCCAATAGCAAAAATCTCTCAAAACAAAAACAAAAACAAAAACCTGAAAAGAAATGAGAAACTAAGGAAGACAATTTTAGCATCATCAATCAAAAGTCCATAGATGGGACCAGCAGTTGGCACAATGGCTATGTCACTGAACTCCCATGTAGTCAACCATGGTTCGAGTCCTGGACCTGGTGGCTTAAACTCACATGGGGCACATGTGCATGTGTGCCCAAGATCCAGAGAGGAGAATGAAGGAAAAGGGATTGTGGCATGGCCATCCCCGCAGGGAGTGATTTCTCACTTTCTGTCTCTCTGTCTCTCTCTTTCTGGTGAGTGCACGCGCCCTATAGCAAAAACCTTTCAAAAAAAAAAAAAGTCCATAAGTATACACTAAAAGAATCTTCTAGGACAATGTACAAATACTAAGAAATTAATGTAAATAATAGTGAATGGAATTCAAAATGCTAAATAGAATTACCACAAGATTTCTGTTTGTTAATTGTACAGAATTATTCAGAAAGTGATGGTAAATCTCAATGACGTAAGAGTTACTCTAAACCAGGACCAGCAGTTGGTGTAACGGCTATGTCGCTGGACTCCCATGTAATTGACCACGGTTCGAGTCCTGGACCCAGTAGTTTAAACTCATGCTGGGCACGCACGTGTGTGTGTGTGTGTGTGTGTGTGTGTGTGTGTGTACGCCCAAGATCCCAAGAGGAGAAGTGATTGCTGTGAGGCCATCCCCCCCTGGGGGTGGGGGGTGATTTCTTGCTTTCTGTCTCTCTTTCTGGCGAGCACACGTGCTGTATAGCAAAAACCTTTCCAAAAAAATAAATAAATAAAAGAGTTACTCTAGATAAACAAACCAAAATAAGATTAGCAAAAAGAAATAAAAAAAAAAAAAAAAAAGGAACCAGCAGGTGGCATGGTGGTTAAGGTGCTGGACACTCCCACATGGCTGACCATGATTTGAGTCCAGGACCTGGTGGCTTGCTTTCTTACTTTCTCTCTCTCTCTGGTTAAATTAACATAAATGAACGAATAAATAAGATTAAATAAACAATTACCTTTAAAAAAAAAAGTTCAGTTATGAGAGTCCTGGTTCAGGCAATCTAGGAGCTCATCAACCTGCAGTCACATCACTTTACAATACATACAAAAAAGGTCTCAGGTTTGAGAGGATCAATCCACTTATCAAATTAGTTAGTGGAACTATGAAATACATATAGTGAGTTTTAGAGTTTGGGGTTCTGGGTTTTGTGTTTTGTTTTGCTTTTGTCACTGAGAAAAAGGAGGTATGGAGAAGAGATGAAAGAAAGACTGTTCAGCAGAAAGTCCATGAGGCTCCTGAATAAGTCAAGACTATGCCCCACTTTCCCACTGGTCCTCTATGCAATGCCAAGTTTTCTTCCTCAGGAAGTACAACAACTCATATATTAGGTCATGAGGAAAGCATGATGTATTTTTCTGTGTTTTTCTATGCAAAAATGCATCATGACTTTCCCAACATCCTAATACATAATCAACGTAACAAGACTCGACATATACATTTTTGTAAGAAATTCTTACAAGTAAAATTCTAAGTTGAAGATGACAAAAGTAGCCCAAAGTTACCTGGAGTGATGTGAGAGCTCAAATGTCCAACACAACCAAACACTGAGACTACTGACTGCTTCCTGTTCAACCTACCTACATTATTTGAGATAGGGTAAAGGTAAGTTTCTATCCACAAATACATAAAAACTGAATCTAAAGAGAGGGATCTCATTATATTTACATAATAAACCAGCTAAAACACACCCTTGGAATACAAAATATCCCAAGACATAATTGGCTATATAGTATTTTACCCACTTTAAAATATAACATTGCCAGGGCTAACAGATGGCATATTGGTTACATCACTGGACTCCCACATGACCAACCACAATTCAGGTCCGGACCCAGTGGCTTGAAAACCACACCAGGCATGTGTGCTTATGTGCCCAAGATCCTGGGAATATAGGAGAATGGACTGCAGTGTGACCATCCCCACCCCACCCCCAGAGGGGATGTGACTTATTTTCCCTCTCACTGTCTCTGTCTCTCTTTGGTGAGTGCATATCCTTTGACAAAAGCCTCTTAAATAATTAAATAAATAAAACATGCCACTGTTTTATGAAGTGTCACTAATTTCAATTGTAAAATATCTCCTTGATTTGATTAAAAATGCATCCTGATTTTAGAGGTGTTAAAATGGAGAACAGGGGGACCAGCAGTTAGCATAATGGCTATGTTGCTGGACTCCCATGTAGTAGACCGCGGTTCGAGTCCCGGACCCAGTGGCTTAAACTCACGCCAGGAGCATGTGTGTGCATGCCCAAGATCCCAAGAGGAGAATGGAGGAGAAGGGATTGTGGCATGGCCACCGCCCCCTGGAGGGTGATTTCTCGCTTTCTGTCTCTCTGTCTCTCTCTGTTTTTCTAGCGAGCACATGCACCCCTATAGCAAAAACCTCTCCAAAAAAAAAAAAAAAAAGGGAGAGCAGGGCCCAGCCAATGGCGTAACAGTTACATCCCTGGACTCCCACGTAGTCCACCACAGTCCAAGTCCTGAACCCAGTGGCTTAAAATTCAGGCCAGGCAAGTGTGTATATGTGCCCAAAATCCCAAAAGGAGTATGGAAGAAAAGGGATTAAGTCATGGTCATCCACCCTGTGGGATGGTTTCTTGCTTTCTGTCTCTCTGGCAAGTGCATGGACCCTATAACAAAAATCTCTCCAAAAAAAAAAAAAAAAAACAACCTAGAACAACAGGGCTAGCAGGTGGCATGGTGGTTAAGGTGCTGGACTCCTAAATGGCCAGCTGCTGTCCGAGTCCCAGACCTGGTGGCTTCAAAATCACACCTGAATGCATGTGTGTACATGCCCAAATCCTGAGAAGAGAATGGAAGAGAAGGGATTGTGGCATGGCCATCCTCTCCAGGGGGTTGATTTGTCACTTTTCCACTCTCTTTTTCTGCCAAGCACATGTGTCCTACAGTAAAAATCTTAAAAAAAAAAAAAAAAATTTAAATTTAAAAAAAAAGTAGAATAAGTACATAACAGATAAAAGCCAGTCATTACCTCAATCTTTGCCTATGCGCTCTCATCTTTGGATCTTCTTCTGAGTTCCTAAGAGGAACACTTCCTCTTTCCACTACTTTTCAACCTTTCTTGTATTACTGTAGAATTTTTTTTTTAAGTGCCACTCCCTCTTCCTTAAAAACCACATTTATACTTTTTAAAAATTATTTATTTAATTATATTTATCATTTTTAAAAATTTGTTATAGAGCACATGCACTTACCAGAGAAGAGAGAGAGCGAAAGTGAGAAAGTAAGCTGCCATATCCAGGACTGGAACTGCAGTTGGCCATGTGGGAATCAAGCAACCCAACACCATGCCACCTGCTGGCCCTACCACACTTACAATTTTCCAGGAAGATAACTTAATAATTTAATCAGTTCAATATAATCATATAAAGAAATTCCTAAATATATCTATGAATCAACATAGCCCTGTCCTGCTGGAAGACTCCATGTCCTAACAGCCTGGGTATAGCACACAGTCAGTGCACAATGAAAGGGGCGCTTAATAAATATATTTGATTGTGACCAGCAGTTGGCGTTATAGCTATATCACTGGATTCCCATGTAGCCAACCACGGTTCAAGTCCCAGACCCGGTGGCTTAAACTCACAGCAGGCACGTATGTGTGTGTGTATGTGTGTGTGTGTGTGTGTGTGTGTGCCCAAGACCCTGAGAGGAGAATGGAGAAGGGACTGAGGCGTGGCCATCCCCCCGGGGAGTAATTTCTCGGTTTCTGTCTCTCTCTATCTCTCTGTGTCTCTCTCTGTCTTCCTGGCGGGCGCATGCGCCCTATAGCAAAAACCTCTCATTCATTCATACATACATACATACATACATTTGATGATCTCACTCCCTGAAGAGCTCCTGAATATCCACTGGCAGAGCCTAAATTTACAGCCAAATACATAACAGAAAAGAAAATATCTCTTACCTGGCTTCTAACAACAATGGGGTGGAAAACCATTTTGTTGTAAGAGAGGTTGTAATAGCTTTTGAATCTGCCTCTACTGAGGAGAACAGCCAAAGTCCAGTGAGTACTATCAGAAGGCCCATTTTATAGCAAATCCCTAAGGAAAAAAATGGAATTAAGTCTTACAACAAGGTAGTGTTTAAACTTTAATAGTTGGAGACATAAAATAACCATCTTAATACCTGGAAACAAAATAGCATTAAAGTTATAGAAAAAGAAATGCTTCTGAACTATTACATAACAGTACTGTTTGTTTGTTCTTTTTTTGTTTTGTTTTGCTAGCAAGGGCACCTGTACTCACCAGAGAAAGAGACACAGGAAAGGAGAAGAGAAAGCACCTCTCCATGGGCTATGGTCATACCATAATCCTCTCTCCTCTATCTCCCCCTCCTTCAGGATTTTGAGCACACACATGCCCAGCATGTTTCTCAAGCCATCATGTCCAAGAGTCAGCGATGTGGGATCTGGCTGCCCTGACCACCATGTCCCAGAGCTGGCCCTACAACAGGACTTAATATCTAGATAGTCCAATAGGTGCTTCCTGAGTGACTAATACATAACCCAAAGCATATACAGTTCATTACATTTTCTCCTCCAAAAGCTCCACTTCATTTCCTGGGAGTCTACACTACACGGAGGTATAAAAGCCAGTGGTTGTACAGCAGGTAGCACAACAAAAGCACATAACCACATGACAAATAATGGCTGCTGTGCATTAAACTGTGTCCACCAAAGAGACATGTTGGTGTCCTAACCCCTGGTACCTCAGAATGTGAGCTGAACTGGAAATAGGGTCTTACAGAGGTAATCAAGTTAAAACGAAGTCATTAAATGGGCCCTAACCAAGTGTGACTGGCATTCTAAAAAAGAGAAATCTAGGCAGACACACACACAGAAGGAAGACCATGTGAAGAGAAACAGGGTAGAGGCAGACGCTGAAATTATACTGCAAGCCAGGGAGCGCAGGGGCTCCCAGTGATAGAAGAGGCAAAAAAGCCCCTCCCCTATGGGCTCCAGAGGGAGTCTGGTCCTGCGGCACCTCAGTTCAGAACTTCTAGCATTCGGAACCCTGACGTGTGCCATCTCATAGTACTTTGTTACCAGCAGCCCTAGGACACGAGTATGACGGGTTTCAAACTAAACTCGATGAGAGGTTCTGTGACACAGTTGGTAGCACCCTGACTGCAAGCTGGAAGCTACATGCAAGCTGTGGTTCGAGTTCCTGGCCTGCTTGGCCTAGAAACATGCCAGGCATGTGCACCTGTGCCCAGAATCCTGGCAGTTTAAGGATGGGGGAAGGTGAACACAGCATGAGCAAGCCCTGCAGAGGGTGCATGTCTGTCTCTCTGTTTCTGTTCCTCATGCACATGCTTCATCATGAATGGGGATGGGGGGGGGGACCTGAAAAACAAACAAACAAAAAACCAGAAACATCTGTAAAGAGACTGTAGAAAAAAGAAAACACACACAAAAGTTAAATCTACTGAAAACAGCTAAGCAAGCTAGACCTTTGACAATAAAATCTGCTAGCAGTAATTCCTGACTGGTGCAGGGAGGATGATGCAGGTCTCTATCATAATTCAGTGAAGCTATGGACATTACCTAAAGAGGAAGAGGCAAGGACCCCCATTTTTGCATACAGATCCAGACCATTCAACAACCCTTGAGACTATTTATAGACATGTTCCCCTACAGGTCGGTGGACTGCAGCCTCGGAAACCTCCTTCGCAAGTTAGAGCAAGCACATTAAGCGGAAAAAGAAAACCTTTCAGTCAGGGGAGTAGCAATCAATTCTGGTTTGCTATTTACTAACCAGTTATCTAATTTCCCTGGCCCTTAGCATCCCTATAAAACCAGAATATAAAACCAGAATAACGACATCTGCCACAGAGTCACTGTGAGAAGTGCCAAGTACTATAGCAGAATTGACTGCTGTAGTAAAACACTGCATCACAAGGAAAAAACAACTATCTTCTAAATGAGAGGATGGCACATCATTATCATTACATAGGTCTCAAAAATGTGCCTTGGAAACATATTCGCTGTAGGTACGAGAGGAAAACAATCCTTCCCCAAAGTCACTGAGTCTCTAAGTGGAGGCAGGCCATATGAACCTGTTCATGCAGTATGATGCTCCTGGCTATTTGTAGTCACAATCTGCACATTGCCTAGGTGTGTAATCTCTAGGAAGTGATGACTCCTGAGGACAAACCAGATAGCACTACAGTCACTCCAGGCAGATAGATGCGTACAGAGTGGCTGACATGGCAAAGGGCCCAGAGGAAACCTTAGCACTTATTGACCATTGACTCTGGGCTAGGCTTACCTAATCCTTATAAAACAAAATGAGGACTGAAGTTCCTTGAAGGTAGCGACCATGTCTACTTTGTTCCCCATAGGAAACAGCACAGTGCCTGGCTCACAGTAACTAGTCCATAAAAATGCTTCATGAACTGATGAAACACTGCCATCTCCATCTTAAAAATAAGACAATGATGGAGCTGGCAGGTGGCATGGTGGTTAAGTCACTGGACTCCCACATGGCCAACCACAGTTCGAGTCCTGGACCTGGCACCTTGCTTTCTCACTTACTTTCTCCTCTGGTCAAAAAAAAGTTTTTTTAAGAATTATTTTATCTAACTTCATAGATTTATTTATTTTTATTTGACCAGAGAAAAACAGAGTGAGCAAGCGAGCAAGTGAGCAACATGAAACCACAGGAGCAAGTTGAAGCCAGGACCAAATCATAGGCCAACCACCCCTACTGTGTTTGCTCTAACTTGCAGAGGAGCCTTAGATTGGTGCTGGAGACTAAACATGAGCTTCTCAAGAGCAAGGGCTTGTCCATCACAATCACCATGCCCAGTATAATCTCTGAAACATACAAGACACGCAGAATAAACACAGCCTTTATTTTTTATTTGTGAAGAGATTAATGAAAACATCAGGAAAGAAAGGAGTGCAGACCAAGAGTAAAGATGCTACAAAAAGGCTAGGAGTGTAGGGCTGGCCTCATAGCCTAATGGTTAAGGGAAGCCAGATCTCGCATGGCTGACGACAGTCTGAATCCCAGACCCAGTGGATTGAAAACATGTTGGACACGTGTGCATAAGCACACACCCTAAATCCTGAGGGAAAGGGGATGTGAAGAAGGGATTATAGTGTAACTATACCCCATTAAGGGGGTGCTCACTCCTTTTCTTTCTCCCTCTGGCAAGCATGTACACTTTGTGACAACTTAAAAAAAGAGAGAGAGCTAGGACTGTTAAAAGGGGTAAAAATAATGTACCTAGAAATTTCCTTGTACTCTTTCAAAAAGAAAGTATGTGTGTATGTTTTATAGGGAGAGGTACATCTCCACTGAGATGAAGAAGGAGGAAAGCTATATGTTAAAGAAGAGCTCTGCCACTCTGACTCCACATTCTTTTTTTTGGAAGAGGTTTTTGCTATAGGGCACATGCACTTGCCAGAGAGACAGAAAGTGAGAAATCACAACCCAGAGGGGATGGCCCAACCGCAATCCTTTCTCCTCCATTCTCCTCTCGGGATCTTGGGCACACGCACGCACATGCGCCCGGCATGAGTTTTAAGCCACCGGGTCCAGGACATGAACCGCGGTCGACTACGTGGGCGTCCAGCGACATAGCCATTAGGCTAACTGCTGGTCCCTGACTCCACATTCTTTTTTTTGGAAGAGGTTTTTGCTATAGGGCACATGCACTTGCCAGAGAGACAGAAAGTGAGAAATCACAACCCAGAGGGGATGGCCCAACCGCAATCCTTTCTCCTCCATTCTCCTCTCGGGATCTTGGGCACACGCACGCACATGCGCCCGGCATGAGTTTTAAGCCACCGGGTCCAGGACATGAACCGCGGTCGACTACGTGGGCGTCCAGCGACATAGCCATTAGGCTAACTGCTGGTCCCTGACTCCACATTCTTTTTTTTGGAAGAGGTTTTTGCTATAGGGCACATGCACTTGCCAGAGAGACAGAAAGTGAGAAATCACAACCCAGAGGGGATGGCCCAACCGCAATCCTTTCTCCTCCATTCTCCTCTCGGGATCTTGGGCACACGCACGCACATGCGCCCGGCATGAGTTTTAAGCCACCGGGTCCAGGACATGAACCGCGGTCGACTACGTGGGCGTCCAGCGACATAGCCATTAGGCTAACTGCTGGTCCCTGACTCCACATTCTTTTTTTTGGAAGAGGTTTTTGCTATAGGGCACATGCACTTGCCAGAGAGACAGAAAGTGAGAAATCACAACCCAGAGGGGATGGCCCAACCGCAATCCTTTCTCCTCCATTCTCCTCTCGGGATCTTGGGCACACGCACGCACATGCGCCCGGCATGAGTTTTAAGCCACCGGGTCCAGGACATGAACCGCGGTCGACTACGTGGGCGTCCAGCGACATAGCCATTAGGCTAACTGCTGGTCCCTGACTCCACATTCTTTTTTTTGGAAGAGGTTTTTGCTATAGGGCACATGCACTTGCCAGAGAGACAGAAAGTGAGAAATCACAACCCAGAGGGGATGGCCCAACCGCAATCCTTTCTCCTCCATTCTCCTCTCGGGATCTTGGGCACACGCACGCACATGCGCCCGGCATGAGTTTTAAGCCACCGGGTCCAGGACATGAACCGCGGTCGACTACGTGGGCGTCCAGCGACATAGCCATTAGGCTAACTGCTGGTCCCTGACTCCACATTCTTTTTTTTGGAAGAGGTTTTTGCTATAGGGCACATGCACTTGCCAGAGAGACAGAAAGTGAGAAATCACAACCCAGAGGGGATGGCCCAACCGCAATCCTTTCTCCTCCATTCTCCTCTCGGGATCTTGGGCACACGCACGCACATGCGCCCGGCATGAGTTTTAAGCCACCGGGTCCAGGACATGAACCGCGGTCGACTACGTGGGCGTCCAGCGACATAGCCATTAGGCTAACTGCTGGTCCCTGACTCCACATTCTTTTTTTTGGAAGAGGTTTTTGCTATAGGGCACATGCACTTGCCAGAGAGACAGAAAGTGAGAAATCACAACCCAGAGGGGATGGCCCAACCGCAATCCTTTCTCCTCCATTCTCCTCTCGGGATCTTGGGCACACGCACGCACATGCGCCCGGCATGAGTTTTAAGCCACCGGGTCCAGGACATGAACCGCGGTCGACTACGTGGGCGTCCAGCGACATAGCCATTAGGCTAACTGCTGGTCCCTGACTCCACATTCTTTTTTTTGGAAGAGGTTTTTGCTATAGGGCACATGCACTTGCCAGAGAGACAGAAAGTGAGAAATCACAACCCAGAGGGGATGGCCCAACCGCAATCCTTTCTCCTCCATTCTCCTCTCGGGATCTTGGGCACACGCACGCACATGCGCCCGGCATGAGTTTTAAGCCACCGGGTCCAGGACATGAACCGCGGTCGACTACGTGGGCGTCCAGCGACATAGCCATTAGGCTAACTGCTGGTCCCTGACTCCACATTCTTGATTCCACAGGCAGTATTGGAGGAAAGCGCTATCTAGGAAGACAGAGATGAGAACCTCACTGAAGCAGTCTTTTGTCTGAGGATGTCTTTACTTTATGAGATACCTATCACTCTGATCCAAGTGGACCTTAAATATTGCTTATGAAGATAAACAGTCTGAGAGGTAAAGGTTTTCAGAATCTGCAATGTGGTACTGCATGATTAAAGGCATAATGCTTGTGGCATGATGGAAAAACAGAAAACATTCTTTAACAAGTTCAAGGCCTAATTTTATCATTGAATATCTGTAAGAGCCAAGAACATTTAAATCAAAACACTATATCTTGGTCATGTATTTACAATAAAATATGGATAATATTGATAATAATCATGTATGGGAAATGTTTTTTACTTTTTGGGAAACAGGTAGAAAATTCTAAGGTATCACCAACTTTTTCTGTTTTTAAGATAAAATAAAAGCAAACAAACTCTTAGGGCCAGCAGGTGGTAAAGTGGTTAAGGCATTGGACTCCAACATAGGTGGCCATGGTTGGAGTTCCAGATCTGGCAGCTTGGGAAAAAAAAAAAAAAATCACACTAGGCACACGCGCATGTTATGTCCAAAATTAAGAGACGTGGCCAACACTAGGCACACGCGCATGTTATGTCCAAAATCATGAGACGTGGCCATCTCCCCTGGTGGGTGATTTCTCCATTTCCTTCCCTCCGTCTCTCTCCTGCAAGCACATATACTCCATAGCTATCTGCAAGCTTACAGATGGCCAACTGAGATTCAATATGCATGTTGGGAGTAAAGAAAAATATTAGGAAGCACCCTTTTTCCGAAAAATTAACTCTCAAATAATGACATTTCATACTGACATTTCATAATGATATTTATACTTATAGTAAAACCATTTGTGAACCACATTAATCTAATTTCAGCTAAAAGTGGCTACTATACAGCTAAGACAATGAGCACCCCTGCATGGTGGCAGGTCAGTAGCACCTGACTGAACTCCCACGCTGTAAGCCATGTGGCCAACCATGGGTTCAGATCCCAGGTAGGGCTGGACATGCCAGACATATGCACATGCCCAAGATCTTAATAAGCTAGAAGGCTGAGGAAAGATCTCTACTGATAAGACACTGTGGAGAGTGCCTCCCCTCTCTCTCACGCAAGCACTCCCTATTATGAATAATACAAACTTGAAGGGGAAAAAAGATCATAAATAACTGCAAAAAAAAAAAAAAAAAAGCATTTTTAAAATTTATTCCCCTCAACTTAAAAATGCACCATAAAGGTGTGGTGCTGCTGTACAAAGTATTATGCTTACTTCCCTTAATAAAAAGTTTCAGCTTAGTTTATAAAAGCAAGCCAACTGGAAAAGCTACAATCATCCCAAGTTTTGTGGTGGTGTCAAATAGCTATTTAAAATGTCTTCAAACGCTTGCAAGTATACAAGATACAAGGGAAGAGGACGCTTTACACTAAAATTAGGCGGCAAGAGTATCCATGAATGTTTCCAAAACAGCTACTGTAGCACAGTAAGGCACGAGACCTCAGGACTTCAAATTAACAAAGTATGCTTCTCAAATCTGGCAAGAAATACAAAACTAGAGATTCTAGCCAAGGAAAGAATTCCCACCTATAAATTACTGGCGATGTACACAGACCTTACTTTTTTGGCAGGTCCCACATACAAACCGAAACTGGATCAACCGTTTTCTAGCCAACAGATCCTAGTATTAGATGAAAACGGAAACCAGTATGCATCACCCGATTTCAATTTAAGGAAAACAGAAATCGTTTAAAGGAGCAGATCATTTTCCAATCAGAGTCCTGCAAAGTGCTGGTTCTCAACTCAGTGTCAGGCTTGGTTTACATTTGTGGTAGGACACTTCCCCCCTCCGTCTCCACTTGGGCACATGGTCTCGAAGCTCCTCAAACGCTCAAGACCACTAAAGACAGCCTGCCGTCACCCAGTGGAAACGATGCCTTGCCCGAAGGTCCTTCGGAGCGCTTGGGGAGAGGGGAAGGGCAGAGACACGAGAGGAGAAACTGAGTCAGGGTGGAGGCTGAAGCTCAAGGTGACCGGGGCACAGCTCGCCTCGCACCCGAGACGCTCCCCATCCACGAGGCCTCCCCACACCACCCCTGGGTACCTGTCACCCGCAGCGCAGCCGCGGTGCACTCGCCGCTCGCGTCCCCCTTGCTGCCCATTCCGGGGCCGCGCTTCTCCCACTACAGCGCCTGCGACAACGCCGGGGCGGGGCGGGGCGGCGGCGGCG